AGTTTTCTGGGTAGTTTTCCTTTGTTTGCTATGTTTTTCAGTGTTTTCTGGTATATACTATAGTAGATGGTTCACTAACCTTTCGAAATCATCTCAGGTAAGAATTCCATATACTTTTGAAAATAGTTTCATTAGTTTATTTTCCACAGGCAAGGGCATTATCAGTGTTCGTTCTAGTTTAAGACCGGCCACGCACATATTTATCCCTGTTCGTAAGTACCTTTCAAGTCAGAGTGTCAAAATAAGTTTATATATGACGGATTTCCAACAATTTCGTTCAAGAATTTTTCTTTCTTTCACCCCACCCATTTTATTCCTTTTGCAAGTTGTCCAATAGAATCTCCTGATGTGTTGTTTGGCGTGCGCGTGGCATGTTATGAATAATGTATTTGATGGACAAGTTACTTGTTGGCTCATTCAGATATGGTCAACTTCATTGAAAACTGTTTGCTTAGTAGAACATTGAGACAAACACTGCACTTCAGGTCCAGGACCAGCTTAGATTGTCAGCAATTCTGTAACTAAGATCTTAGAAATGACACATCCATAGTTGAACCACTTGTTTTGCCAAGGTCCAACTGTGGCAGGCAGCGAGCCAAACACTAGTTTGTCAACTCCCAATAGCGAGGGGAGCTAACATCAACTCTCCAACCTCAATAAACCATGTTATATTTGTTTACTATACCTCATATATATTTGATTTAATAACCTCTGAAAATAAAAATTGTGTGCCGCTATCTTTTCATGTGAGCTGCATACCGTTGTTTAGGCTGGCGCCACCATGGGTGCACAGTACACCCGGGCGACAGTTCTTGAACACCCGGGTGACAGTTCTTGAACACCCGGGCAACGTTCTTGAACACCCGGGCGAAAGTTCTTGAACACCCGGACCACAGTTCTTGAACACTCGGGCGACAGTTAAAAACACATGCGCGTATTTACTCCCTGCATGAAACATTGCGTGTGCGCTTGGCAAACAGCAAAAATAGCAGCATGCACATGACCATAAATACACCAATGAGAGTTCGGCAATCCGTCATGAATATGTAAGAGATATAGTAATATCCTCTAATTTGATGATAGTATTTATTATGTAATAGTACATGTACCAGTAGGTTCAATGTTTAAAGTCTGCTTTTATGGTTGAGTAATTTTTCTCTGTTATGAGCCAACCTTCTATACAGACTTTGCCCTATTTATAATTGTTGCCTTTTTGTACATGTTTGTTGATTTTCGAGACAATGAGATATTTGAAATCTGGAATCCTATTTTGGTTGCTTCCCACAGTGGAGCCACTCATTCCAAGATGGTTCTTATGAAAGGTGATGGCTCCATTCTAGCTTGGTCAGATGGACCCAGCACAAATCACTGGGTAAATAATCACTTCTTTTTATTTGCAAGAGTCAATTTGTTTCTGTTAGTAAAAGCAGCAGTCCAAAGATAGGGCATTAAACTTGTTGATAGCCTGGTCAGCTAACAACAGGAATTGTGAATGTCATAACGTAATGCAATTAAGCATGTTCTTCCTCTTTGTAGTTGATAGGAGTAGATCAGTGTTTAGTTAACATCAACGAGATGGCTGTGAAAGCTAAGACAGAAGCTGGACTGGATATCAACAAGCCCCTTCAGTCATTGGTAGGTACATGTATAACTTCAGGTCTAGACTTTCCCTCATTGGAAGGGCTTTTCTCTATCCATCCACCTCCACAAAACTGAAGGATGGGCTGCTGGAAAGAAGTCAGAAGAGGGCAAAAACAGCAGCTTTGTCGACATTTTGGGTTCAACTCCTGCCAGTTGTTTTATGTTTTATTTATTTAGTTAGTTTGTGTGCTTCTTGGTTCATTAACATTAACTTTCTACCTCGTAGGAGTTACATGGATGCTTAGTGTAAAGTGTTGTTGAACTGACTTAGCCAATCAACTTTATTGGTCGTGAAGTTTTTAGTAACCCCCTTCCTCGCATGTTCTATTCCTCTGTTCAGGGTTTGTCACTCAGTGGGGGAGAACAAGAGGCCGGCAAACGACGAGTTATTGATGGAATGAAAAGCAACTTCCCAAATGTCAGTGAAGCATATCACATGTGCACAGACACCTTTGGGGCCATAGCCACAGCATGTGAGGCTGGTGAGTTGCTGTTAAGATGCAGCTGGGTAATTTCTCAAATGAGGGGTCCAAATGTGACATTTTTGTGTTCTTATTACATCGGAAAGGTGTTATTGACATGGAAATATCACTGGAATTGTTTTTAAACCAGTACTATTTGTTGGGAGGTAATTTGCATTAATTCATCACTCTTGGAAATTAGAAAATGTGTTCTGAACTTTCAAAATCATATGTCAGATGTGACAGGGACACGAAAAAAGTTGAACCCTAATTTCTGGAATTACCCAGCTACAGTCTAAGTTAAAGTTGTAGTCAAAGCTGCTTCATAACATACCCTGCTGGGTACTCAATTTAAGAAGGAATGCAATTTACAACAGGTGTCTGTGGAATTCATGCTAATTGGTACTTGAGTGGTGCGTTTTGTAAAATGACTCAAGCAGTAGAATGGGTATGCAAGGCAGAGACAGATGGGCTTATAGTTTGGAGCTGATAAAATGTACATGTGGCCAGATGTGAAGAATAAGGAACAGTAATTGTTACTGTACAACTTTTGTTCTCCAAACAGCTATCCTTTGCAGTCCACTGGCCTATTTGAGTTATGGTGGACACAACAGGAGGGCGCTGCTTGGTTTGGGTGAAGTCTTTTGTGTTGACTCCAAATTTACTCACTTCAAAAGCGCCCTGCTTCAAAAAGGCCAATTTAATAAGTTTTTGTACAGCTTGTGCCAACGCCTAATGCACATCTTGTGTTCATTTCATTTCCTTTAAGAGGGAAATAGTGCACTATCAACAGCGTATTCATCCTTAACTCTAAGATCCCTAGCCCCGCCAATCCTTCAAAACCCACCTGGAGGTTTGGGAGGATTTTGCAGCATTGAGGAAGGTACCAATCCTTCGCATGGGGCTTACACTTCTTGAATACAAAGAATGTGTCATTGTATTCCTGCATTTATTTAGTTGAGTGTGTTTCATGATTTGGGTCGTAGCATTTCAGGATTTGGCATTCCTGGCAAAAATGTCACCTTGATCCGATCCGAAATTATACAGGCAAACTGATGACGTGCTTACATAATAATTATTGAGACCAGCAAAGAAATTGTCTGGAGTGGGATTTAAACCAGTATAGTGTTTTTTACTTGCAGGTAGGCTCAAATCCCCCTCGAGTAAATTTGTCACAGTCCCTGTCAATACAGGCAATTCACAGTAGTGCACCTCCAAGAGTTTGAAATGTGTTGGCCAATCACGATGCGCGAAATCTGTCAATTTTGTTTCCATACCCTAGGGGTTTAACATTAAAATGTGATGAGATATCTTTATCAGAGCCATTATTGATAAAGTATTCAAGTTAGTGAAGGCTTTAAAGTACATCATTTTGAAGCTTTGGTATGCACTTGAATAGATTCTTCAATCTTGGTGCACATTCTTGTTTGGCAGGTGGTATTGTACTAATTAGTGGGACAGGTTCTAACTGTCAGTTGATCAATCCAAATGGTAAGAACCATGGATGTGGAGGCTGGGGTCATCAGATTGGTGATGAAGGCAGTGGTGAGTCTGGATTTCTGTCTTCTTAAGGCATGAACAGTCTGTATATTCTCTGTGTACTCTGTGCTCCCATTCAAACTTAACAATTATTGAAGGAAGGAAATCTTGCTTGGAGATTCAGTAACTTGAAAGAAATAAGAAAGTTCTGTCTGTCCCTCTGAAGACTTATTTATCTGGACTCAGATGTGCTTTCAAATGTCTCATCAATTATAATTGTAGGGATTTTCCAGATAAATATGGTAGGCCCTAGGCCTTACTTTTTGCTGTTTTCTGGTAAGGCCGAATATGCACTGAATTTACATGTATGCTTTTAGGAGACTACCTTTGTGTCTATTACTTTTTTAACCACTTGCTGCCGGGTGGATTTTTCTTGTGCAAGACAAGATGCCGGGTCCTTTTCAAGATCTTCCGTTTTCAAAATTCTTCGAAAATTCATCGTTTCATTTAATCGCCTTTTATACCAACATGAAGGACTCTTTTGGCACTACTTTACAGCTGACAGGTAAATGCATTGACTTTTGAATATTTCAGCCAGGCCTGCAGCCTTGGAAAAAGAGCCCAGATTGTGCAGTATTACGTAAGGTTCTTTTGTTCTCAAAACCGGCACAGTGCACTACTGACCTCTTTTCAATAGGGGCCAGATTAACGTGCAGCGTTGCTGTGTGGCTCATTGCTGTGGTGGTGGAGAGCTTTTGTCCCCAGTGGTAATCCGCTCGCTCTAAATGCCTCAAACCTGGTATACTGTTTCAAAACAAGGCTAGATTATCTCCACTATTGAGAGCGAAAAAATGTCAATAATGCCCAGCAGCTCAGTCTTTTGTGCTGAGCACGGTCTTTTGTTATAAGGCCCAACTCTTTTGTCCCAGTTCCGGGCTCCCCGGCTCTGCATATAAAGCCTATGTACTCGAAAACGGGTCGCCCGGCAAGGAGTGGTTAATGCCAAAATGTTTAGAATGAATGCAAATGAACCCAAAGACTTTGACTATCTTCTGTGTTATTTTTATGTGGTTCCCTTCACTCTCGCAGTATCGTCAGTCAGGGATCGATTCCACAGCCTTTAGTGTTTGGTCACACAAGTGTGCCTTGTGGATCAACTAAATGACTGTGAATGTGTTTGTTTGTATACATAGCTTACTGGATCTCTGCCAAAGCAGTCAAGACTGTCTTGGATCATGAGGACAACCTGGTGGATCCTCCACACGATGTTACATATGTCAAGAAAGCCATCCATAGCTTCTTTGGGGTGGGTGTTACTGCCTTGTAGCCTTCCATGTACACATGCACATGGAGTACGTTGTTGCTGCAAAGCGTGTGTTGTTGATTCAGGAGGTGATTTGTGGATTGTGGAGTATGCACACGTCTGTTGGAGCATGATGTTGATGTGTGCAGTGCGTTTGTGTCGAGTCTGGGTACTTTGTGGTGTGCATTGCTATTTTGGAAACTGTTGTTACTTGCAGCATGTGTTTGGTTTCATGAAATTTGTTTTGTCAGTGTGACAATTTATAGCTGTTGCTTGCGCACTAAGAAAACAGGCATCATGAGGCATGCACATTTGATGACAGGTTTTCCTCACTAGGGGCTCATGGGAACCTCCAACCTACATGTATTTCAGCAGACTTTGTAGTTTGGAATAATGGAGCAATGTCTGAGTATTACGATGACATGATCCAGCACAGTTACATCTTGTGAAGTTTTAACA